TACAGGTCAAGAAGATATGTGTCAAGGGGATACTGGCCAAGTGCGTCATCATGGGAGCACCTACCTGCAGTCATCCAGCCTACCAAGTGGTACCAGGTTGTTGGGAATAGGCAATGCAGGTACTGCAAATCCCAGGGCAGGAATCAGAAGACGTCTTGGATATGCCAGAGCTGTGAGGTGCCCCTGTGTCTGATGCCGTACCGAAACTGCTACGCCAAGTGGCACGGCCAGATATGTTGAGTTCAGCAGGGTGGAAGTTATTCTCCCATAATGGGATAAGTTCTTGTGTTACTGCAACATTTGTTAGGCTTGAAATTTTTCTGTTTATCCTTACAATCAGAATCTCAGTGCTAAATAATGTAATACAGAATATTAATGTGCTAAGTACACCAGTTCTGTAAAAATGGTTACATGCAAGAAAAATAATCTTTAACGTTTTTTTATTTGGCCAGGCGGTCACCTGGTTTGCACTTTCTTTTATAATATGTTCCCATTGTTGTACCGTATGTTCTATGTTCTATGTTCTCCATTTCAGTAAAAAGTTCCTGCTTCTATTAATGATTCTGTTTGTTTATTCAAGGCTATTTGTTGGTTCGCTCCTTCAGAGCTAATCAGTTTGCACTGCGAAAATTGACAGCATAATGCATTTACAGAGTGCATAAAGTACGCCATGTCTGCTCAGTTCAGTTCACATTTAATGCGAGTGTGGCTTTTGACACCAAACACTTGGACAAAGAATTCAGATCCTTTAGAAGTAAAACTGAAAAAACAATGTCAAATCAAACAAAGAAGCGTGATCTAGGAGTTTTTTAACCTAACATATCCAGAAAGGTTCAGGTGCCCCCCAGAGAAAAATCAGTTAAAGTGATAAAAAGTGAAAATATATATTTTTTCTTTGAATTGGGGTTTGATTTACTCAAACATTTGTCCCTTATACAAAGTTTCAAAGATTTCTTTGTGATTCATGTATTTTTAATCGATTAAAAAGCAGAATAGCTGATGTTAAGAAGCTCCTAGCAGCATGTTTGTGTATTTGTACTTACGAGATAAGAGTTGGGTTGGGTGCCAGTCACTCAACAGGTTTCTACCCAGGCTGCGGCTGTCAGATAGGCCTGACCCTGGATGTCATGGAGGTGGTTTTGCAAAAAATTCAGTCAGGTCTGGATCTGTGTAAAGAACAGGGAGCTTTCAGTCCAGGAGGAAAGTAACCGCTTATAAAATACAATCTGCTACATGCAGTATACATGCAGTTTAAATTCATTACGATATTGCACCCTCACACATTTTTTCCTGTGAGTTGTCGTTTATATATATATGCTCTTGGCAGCTGAATTTTTTTTTTTTTATACATGCACATGTATGTAACGTAACTGAGGATTGTGGGTCAGAATTGCCAGAAAACCTTTCAGGCTGGCAGACTGTAAAATGATACCAGGGGTCGTAGGTCATCCCAGTGTTTGGCACACTGCCTATTAGGACATACTAAATGTTTTTCTGACATACCATAAGATACGACCTGTTAGATACATGTGCTATTTTATAAGTAAAGGAAGCCTGTAAGAATCAGTGAGATCACTGGGGCCACAGAAACCCTTCATCATGTGTCCCATGACAGTGTGACTGAGCCAGCATGGACAACACTTGGACCTTGAAACGTGACGGAGCTACCGGTTCATTTTATTCTGTATGTGTGTCAAATATAATAATTTACATTTGTAGCTCAAACATTTATTCAGTTAGTTGATTTACAGAAAACCAATAAAGGCAATTTTGATACTTGTCTAATTGCTTTGGTCAGTTATCAGTGATTAATCAATGCAAGGAAATAACTACATCATTCACATAATCACATTAGAAGAGGCTAGATAAAATTAAGGATTTAATAAAGAAGCTCCAGTGATGTTCCTAAATAACACATTGTAATTCCTATGTGACTACACAGCACGTCCGCCCGCCTGTAAATGTATGGACAAGTAGACCAGCACTGCAGTGTGGATCTGGCAGCCGTCCACCTTGTCGGTCTGGCTGCAGAAAATCACAGATTGGTGGATGTTTTCACCAAAGCTATAATGTCCCACATGAGGCAGTGTTTTGCTTTCTTTGCTGTGTATGTGTGTTTGTGTGCGCACACGTTTTTCCCTCTCTCCCTGGTGGTGCTGGGGTGTTTGGCAGGATAAATATAGCTGCGTTGGTGTAAAGCTGTTTTCTCCTCGGCTTTTGTAGCTTTAATCAAAAGCAATCTGGAGGAGGGAGAAATGGAAGAGAAAGTGGGGGTGAGAGAGAAAAGGGAGAGCGGGAGGAGGAAGAAGAGGGAGAGAGTTGGTAAGAGGAAGAGAATGGGGGGAGAGGGAGGAGGAGGAGGAGGGGGGGATGGCTGATGCCAGAGTGTTTTATTTTAGCTCTCTTTAAAGAGTCATTGGGGAGTGTTCAGGAGTAATGAGAACCCTGGTGGCTGGAGGAGTGGGACTGACTCTAACCTCCCCTCGCTCTCCTCCTCCATCCTCTCACTGTCTCTTTATTTCCCGCCCAGCTTCACTTCCTCTGTCATCCCCCTCTCCTCATTCTGGCTCTGATGTCAACACAGGACTGTGACTACGGCTGCATTCACACTGCAGGCCTTCGTGCTTCTCTCTGTCTTTCTATTCTAAGATGCAGCCCTGCATCACTCACTGTATGTTTGAGACGTTTAAAGTTTGACATAAGTAGTGCAGCACATCTTCAGGAAACGATGGAGTGTTTGTCCCCAACAGATCATTTTGCCCCGTGATCCAAATTAGGAATGACAAAAGACAGTTTATTTGTACCTACTCACAGTCTCCAAATAGAAATGTAGCCGTTAAAGGAGGGCAGACACTGTGAGATTTCTGTTAATTTTCTATACTGTTAACTAACACTGGATGTCAGCCCTCTGCAGACAGAGCCTGCAACTTCTCTGCTCACACTGTACAGGTCAAGTCTGACTCAAAGGACTTCCGGTATAAATCTGCCATTTCTGGCCTACATTTCATGTGGATTTTTTTCTCCCCGTCTGCTATCTATGCGTTCCCGTGTCACTATTTTCAGGGTCTCCATCGATGCATCCTGAACTTAACGCCTAAAGAAATACAGCCAGACCTGAGTGTTTAGAATGATAATGAGGTGCAGCCAGACCATTCTTCTGCGTGGAGATAAATCTAGATGTGATACTAACTGATGGGCTGCCATGTAAAGTTCACAGAGACAAGTTTTGTCGAACAAATCAAGCCATCACAACTATTCAGATGTGTGCAGGATGCATGAATGTCTATGACCTGCCAAACACTGACACTAATCTTTCTGCCAGGAGGATTTTTAGATGTTTGCATGTCACACCAAACTGATGAATGCTTGACCATCTATCCTACCAGCTGAAATCCTCACTCAAGGTCAGGGTACCAGGTGTTTCCAAAGTTTTCAATTGCATCTCAGTTTTACTGTGTGGCTACACCGTACTAAGTTGTCCGGGTCTGTATGAAATAGGGGTGAAAGTGCATCCGGTGAGGAGGACTGTGAGTTATAATTTAAACAGACAGAAAAAACCTGGAAGTTGACCTTGTGTTTAGTTTTGGTCAAACCGCTGCTTTCAAGGTTAATAATTAGTTTTTATGGTGAAGATCACTTGTATCTTCTGACCTTTTAGCTTAAAAACAGCACAGGACACTAATTAGACTCAGTTAACGACTAGCTGGTGAACATAGGAAACATTTAGCAGCTAAATGTTTTTTCTAGGCAGTGATGACAACACATCTAAAACAATAGTGAATATTGCATATTAGTTTGATGCCCAGAAACACGACGGCAGGTCATGGCAGTGAGCAATAGGTGACTTTATGTCAGTGTTGTGGTCACAACTTGTTTCTGCTTCCCAAATAAATGGCCAAAAAATCTGTTATGCACATTTAAGGTTGAAACTAATGTGCTTGTTCTAAAGTTTGTATTTGTATTGATCAGATTTAAAGTTTAGCTGCACAGCATGAAGAGATCAGTGAGGTTTAAGGTTAATATCTCTTTAACTGACACTGAATGGTGTATCTTTTAGATGTGTTCATAAGATTAGGTATCTAAAACTGTTCAATACAGAAAGTTAACATCAAATGCTTGGTCTGCTGGATCATTTGTTTGTAACTGAGTGTGGTTTTTAAGGCATCACACACACACACACACACACACACACACACACACACACACACACACACACGATACAACAACTGTTCTTTGCTTCAAATTGAATTTGTTTTTCATCATCCAAATGCAATGTGATATCAGATATATGTTAATCCTGAAACTGTTATGTAATTCACTCGACTGTACATCTGAAGTGTGTCACGAGTGGTTAAAAAAAAAAAATCTGAATTTGGACTCTCAGCTGTAGTGTGTGAACGCAGCCAATGTATAGTCGGCGTGCATATGTGTGATGGGACAAATAGAAAGAAAGAAGACGGGAGATATTATTCTGGCAGCCAGTTGAGTATCCTTTCATTATCCAGTTGGCTTTGTGTTCCTCATTTGGAGGCCAAAAGCAGCCCACAGTGGAAGCCAAGCTGCTCCCTGGTATAACTGCCATGATGTTGATCTTAAAAAGCTTCCATAAAAGCCTTTTTCTGGACGACTCATTGGCAGCAGCGCAGCTCTTTAGGAAGTGCATTGTTCCATTTCCTGTTTGACAGTCACAGCGATTGAAGCCGGGCCTCAGATTAGTGGTTGGCAGAGGAGTTGGCTGGGACGGTTTTCACTGGCTGCAGTAAAGAATAGTTCTTTCCTGTTGGACACCTCATTGTGAAATGAATGTCAGCAGCATTCAGCTCCTCATCTCCACTTCTCAGCGAGGTTATGTAAATGCATGTCGTATATTATCTGATCTGCTTGTACGGAAACTTTACGATGACAGCTGCTTGCCAAATGATCTGATAGAGCTGTATTGAAAATCCAGACGTATCATATGGCTGTGATTCTAATCCCTCCCCGTGCTCCTTCTCTCCTAGGTGATCTGGGTGTGCAATAACTGCCGGAAGCAGCAGGAGATCCTGACCAAGCCAGGCGAGTGGTTCACTGGTCCTCCGGGGAAGACTGCCGGCCTCGGTTCAGCCGTCAGCGAGCCGTCTGTGTGCCAAACGCCCGGGGATAAGAAGCTCCGATCTCGCTCGCAAGCACCCCCGGGCTCCACCGCTGCAATCCAAGACCCCAACCGACCGAGCACAGCCGGGACTCTACCTGGCACCGATGCTCGGTCACTTAGCGAACCACCACGAGACACGTAAGATGAAACGCAATTGTGGAAATGCTGCTGAAGGAAGAGGTGACACAAAAGATAGATGAAAGAAATATTCAAAATCTTATTACACCTCATGTGTTCAACAGTTTTGTTGTTGCTCTACTCACCAACATCACTGAAATCCTTTTTGAACATCCAGATTGGTGACAAATGAAAGCAGAAATAAAATGTCTCTGGATCTTTGCTTGAGGGCTAAACAGTTCTTCCAAATCGTTCCCTTCTTTGGTGTTTTGATGATGATGCTAGAGTGCACTGTGCAATACACGACAGTATGCACAACAGTTATGGCTTTGTGTCATTCAGAAAACAGGTGTCCATTATGATTGGTTGGAGTTTAAAACTATAAAGAAAGAACCGAGTTTTCTGTAACGGATCTCAAAATTAATTTAGCTAAAGGCGCATTAACTGATAACAATGAATGAGTGCGAGGAACACTTTCTACTTCATCTCGCAGTGAATCATCTAATAAATTGTATCATGAGTTTCATCATTTATTAGATAATAAACTGGGCTGCCTAATGTCCAGCTGTGCACAAGCATAAAGAAGATGTTAAGTTGAAACTCCAGTTCAATCCTTTTGCCCCTAAAATCATTTTAGTCTGATCTGACATGAAACAGCGTCATGGTTTGTTAAACTGATTTTATTTTCTTTGTGCATAAGCAGTGATAATGAACGATCTTAGATGTGCATTTAATCTCCATCTGTGCATGTTCACCCTGTGACCTTTATGGTAATCTGACAGCATGCAGTTACAGAGACCAACAGTTGCTGGCACATTTACACAATAGGGTGCACGTCTGTGAAGAGCTGAACTCTCCAAAATCTTCCATACGGTAGATGATCAACTGGTTTAAGGTCTGGTGACTGCGATGGCCATAGCTTGTGATTCACCATTAACTTGTCACCCTCTGAATCTTTTACTGAGAAATGTTGGAAAACCTCTTAAAGAGTACTACCTAAAAAGGTAATAGGAAGTTTTCAAAAAGTTAGAAAGTGTGGTATGCTTGCTGGAGAAAATAAAATAAGAGAGTTAAAAAAAAAAGGCTAAGGCAGAGATATCCTGATATTTAGTATAGATAGTATAGTGTAGCTCTAAAACAGAGGTTCTCAACTGGTCTCACCCTGGGACCTACATTTTCCCATGGTCATTAAGTCGTGACCCAGTTTTTTTTAGAATTCAATATTCAATATATTTTCCTGTGCAACATGCATTTCAGAGCATATAACCATGCACAGTAACTGGACCATGACAACTGCATGTACAAAACTGCACAAAATAAAAAAGGGAGAAGAAGGAGGAGGAGGTGGGAGGAATATTCGGAGATCAAAATTGACATCCCGATTCAAGCACAGCGAACGAATAGTTGGCTATTCGGCTATTTGGGTCCAGCCCTAGTATGAAAATCCACATTTTAAATACTCCGGGTCATATTTGCGCTTTGCCATCTTGCATCCCAACATCAACACAAACTTAAAATGAACGTCAAACAAACTATGGTTACCATGCCTGTCAAAATAAAAGTTTTTTCAAAATAAAAAATAAGTCCAACCTGAGACGCACATTATATATTATTTAATTTTGACCAGCTGTCCGTGACCCGCCCAGAACAGGTCCGCGACCCACTTTTGGGTGGCGACCCACTAGTTGAGAACCCCTGCTCTAAAAAACTGGGGACTGACAAATTCCATTGTGCAGTTCACGACTGCCTACTTTATACCCTCCCTGCATGGCCTCCAAACTACACTTCTCTAATTTGCAACACAGATATTTTCTAAAATATGACAGTAGTCTCCAAACACAGCATTTACCAGGATTACTAAAGCTTGTTCAAAAAATAGTATCCACAGGTAGAGGAGTAACCATGACAAGTGATCTGAATATGTGAATGAGTAAACCTTTTAACTCATGTTTCATATTATTGAGCATCATCTGCAATCCTAAATTGCTGTCTTAACGCAGTAGAGGATTATATTTTCTAAGCATTGTTTCTTATGCCATTCAGAATGAAATAAAGGAATACAGGTCCAACCTACTATCACTAGCAGTAGTTACATCAGTAGCGACTTGTCACTGTGGAGCAGTCATGGGTGAGTTGGTGTGCTTGAGCTACAGTGAGTGAGGAGGGGATTCCCTGCCTTTCCCATAGCATACATGAGTTTTTAGGATTTTAATCGATGACCAGAGGAACTTTGGCAATGAAATGGTAACAGATGAAAAATCACACCAGTGTCATTTGTTCTCTGTGCATAAACAGTTGCTGCAAGCAAAGCAAAAGTTAAAGCTGTCACATACATCATGTATTAATCAGTTTTTGTTATGATTATTTATTAAACATTTAGAATGCTGAAACAATTCCTCCATTTATCATTCAGGTGATACAGCATTCATCCACTCACTACTCACTAATAACCTTTTTCAAGCAAACATTTTGATACAGTTTGGATTTGACTTTCTGTAAGACATAACAAGCTTTTAGCAGTTTCACCTTGAGGTTTGGGAACTTTTGATGGCCATTTTTTTCACCATATTTGTGTTATTGGCTCTACAGAGTCTTTGGGCCGAACTAAAATATTTCAGCAACTTTTGAACTAACTTTTCATGGTGACCAGAACTTTGAACTTTGGTGATCCTCTGAATTTTCCTCAACTAACATTTGACATTCTGACAAAACAAAAAATGTAATATTTCAGTTGCCCATTACTTTGATACACTGTAAATGACTAAATACATTTACAACTGTTAGCACACATTAGCACGAGTCATGCCACGATGCCCTGTATACTATAGGAGCTACAGAGGCTGGCATTGTGAACTTCGTACTGAAGTTTTCCAAGCCTGTAAAAACATTGTCTCACTTGTATCCTTTTCTTTCCTTCTTCGTCTCCGTATTGATTGCTCCTCAGGAGAAATGGACGGGGAGCTGCAGGAGCTGGTCGGGGCGAGCGGCGGCAGGGCCAGCCCAGGCTACAGACCCAGGTGTCCATGGACCGGGACCTGCGGGGGGAGTCCAGGGAGCGCAGGGACAACTGGCGGCAGACAAAGGGACGCTCTCTGGAGCACGATCCAGTGGGTGGAGGTGGGGGAGCGAGGCGGACAGAAGAGGGGGGTTACCACCACATGGACCACAGCGGTGGCCCCCCTCGACAAGCAGGGCAGGTCCCTCCTGGAGGCAGGGGCCACCCTGTGCCCGGGCAGGGTCGTGGCATGGGCATAGGGGAGGTCGGGGACGGCACTCGACCTGGACAGAGGACGGTGGGCGGGGTAGGTGGGCCGCATGAACACACTCTTTTGCAGCAAGGCCAACCCCCTGAACTCAGAGAGCCTTCTGGTTCAGGCCCCGGCTCAGCCCCTGGCCAGGGACCAGTAGTGAGACGGACCAAAAGGGAAAAGGCCGAGAGCATGCTGCGCAATGATTCCCTAAGCTCTGACCAATCAGAGTCTCTGCGTCCTCCACCACCGCGGCCCCACAAGTCAAAACGAGCCCTGGGGGCCGGAGGGAAGAGACAGACCAGCGTCAGCAGTTCAGAGGAGGAAGGAGGGACCACGCCTGAGTACAGCAGCTGTGAGGATGCTGAGATCGAAAGTGTCAGCGAGAGAGGTGAGAAAATATCAATCATCACCTTCTGTTCATGAAGAACTGTTGTTGATTTCAGCGAGAGAGTATGGAAAGTATTGACATGTGTCTGTTCATTCGTCTGTGCATCCATCCATTACATGAGACATCTCAGGCAGTTTTATTTTCACAAAATGTGAGGAAATGATCCGTCTTCGCACTGCTGTATGGCACTTCCTTACACTGCTTAGTTAGAGGAAGTACTTTTAGGTCAACATTGAAAATCTTAATAGCCACTTAAATCTCTAAACTCACATATTCAAATGACATTTGATGAAAGCTTTAAAAATTTTCATTAGGATTATCGCATTCATCTAAAATCTGTGTTTTGAGGTGTCTAAAATGTTTCCAGTTTCCTTCCTGGTGGTGAGCGACCAAACAGCCGTCACCAGTTCGACTTAATATCAGCAACTGGAGCTCAAAGTGCTCAAGCCATGAACATCACCCACGGTCCAGGTTCCTTTTTTGCTGTATAGAAATGTACACGCAGACAATAACATCACTAAGCTAATGGAAATCAGTGACTTTTGTTTGTCATTTCAACTTCTCAAAGATAAAACGTTTCTAAAATGTGTCTGTCTTGAGGGCTCACAACAACATGGAACTTATTACACATTTTACTAGGTATTTTTTTTGCAGCTTTAAGGAGCTTCTTCAGTTTCTTTAGTGGAATTTATTGTTTTTCCAGTTTGAATACACGGCTCAAAACTTGTTTAGAATTAGTGCATATGTTGTGTTTAATTGGGGCACAGCTATAAATTGTTTCCATAGAACGGACTTTGCCATATGTTACAAGAGACGTGCTTCTTTCATGGCGGACACAGAGTAAAAAATGGACAAACCATAGAGAGATGTGTTGGCTTCAGCTGGAAGCATTGTACTTAAGGGATCATGCTCTTCCCTAATGATGAGCCACTAAATATTCAACAAAAGCCTTATTGCTGTAGCTGCCTGCTGATCGGTTTAACTAGTAAAACTAGTAAAGGACTGCAGGTGTAAGTTTAGGTTAGGACTGCCATAACATGCAATGGTTACGATGGTGCAACAAACTGACATGTAAAAACAAAAAGAGCAGAAGCAAATTACTTTTAAACCAATCAACAAACAAAAACCGCTTAAACAATTAACAAGACTCTTATTAGAATTACTCGAGGCTAATGTGTGGTCCAAAGAGTGATCCCTGGAGGACATCATGTTATTTAATTCTAGTAATTGTTATTTTATGACATATTCGCAAGACAGCCAGGAGCACAGTGCCTCCTACAGCTACAGTTTACTGTGTGAATCACCCTGATTAGGTCATTAACACTTGGAAAAACCCAAACACCTCACTAACGTAGAATTTACAACTGTTGATCCTTTCACAAACCTTTTCAACCAGGACTCAGCAGTAGTTATACTTTAACAACTGATGTTGGAAAGCAATTTATTTGTCATGCTTAATGCTGTATGTGTGTTTATAAGGAATGAAGCATTGCATTTTCAGCGCGCGCGCGTGTGTGTGTGTGTGTGTGTGTGTGTGTGTGTGTGTGTGTGATTGAACACTCCTACCTGAACACTGTATCATGGGAGGTGAATGTAAGAAGCAGAGAGAGCTGTTTAGTCTCAGCCCACTGTCCTTATTCACACTCAGTGAGTTTACAGACGTCTCTCTGCTTCACTGTGTGTGTTCACAACAGGTTCAGGCTGCTCTGATTTAACCCAGTAATTTGGGGAACACTGCAGGTTCTCACATTTTCTACATGTGTATGAAGCGCTAACATTTAAACTGGTATACACCTAACTTCCTGAGAACATTTTCAGTTTTCTAAATGAAGCGATTAAAATGTGTCACATGGTTGTGTTTGCAGAAACTCCTGCGGTCATGTCTTACATTTGTGTACAGTGCATGCAGCAGGATGTAGCTGGCAGTTGGAATGTCAAAATGAGCAGCTACCCAGTAAACCAGCGTACATGTTAACAAGTGTGCAAGCCCATGTGTGCACATCTGGATGTTTTCCTGTGTGTCATATTATATTGTTTTCAGCCTGGCCCCCAAGGGGGACAGTCCCATACTGAGCGTACATGTGTGTACATGGTATTGCGTCTTGGATGGGGCAGCTTGACCCCGGTTAATCCCAGGGTTGACCTTGTGTGGCCTCACAAAGCCGTCCATGTCCCCCAGCCTGAGAACATACAAGTGTTCACACTCTAACCTTGTCATGTCCAAGCTGGGTTCTGTCACTTTACTACAAACCGCTCCAAGGCACTCATGCTTGCCGCTAGGTATCCAACTGTGTTAAAAACAATAATACAAACTACTAAAGAACAGCTGGAGGTAATTCTTCCTTATAACCACCAGCCCAGTCCTGTTACGGGTTTGCTTCAATGCCATACACTAAGAAACGATTCCACTGAAGGAGACTTGTGGCTACAGCTTGGTAAATTCCAAAGATAAGGTGTAGTGTCACTGATCACTTTAATGTTTTGATAAACTTTATCTTTTTCTGGTAAGAATACAAAATCACATTTTTATGCAATTAAAAAAAAAAAAGTGATTTATTATTGATCCCCAGTTGGAAAAAGCCCTCAGCAATCATCATGTCATGTTAGAATTTCTGCATTGTACCAGTTTAAAGGTGACTGCATATGTGCTCAGTTCAAACTTCATATGGAATCAAAGTAAGAGACACTGGTCTGAAATAATCCCCAGGTGACGCTTACTGTTACTGACTGTTGCTGCAGATATTACTGTTTCCCTCTGGTTGAATAGTAGTTTAAACTTTTTTGAACATTGAAGATCCACAGAGTTTACATTTTTGTAATTTTTTAAGTCCAAATACCTGCAAAGCTTCTTGTTCTTGTTCAACCTTAACTGTTCATTATATTTACAAATGATAGCATGCTAACATGCTAAGCTAACAAGGGACACATAGTAAGCCAACAAAAGATTAGGATCTTAAGATTATTGTTGTGCTCATGGTAGGATGGAGAGCAGCAAGCATGATTGCACACTTTATCTTGTTGATTTACGCTTCCCAAGACAGTTTGCGATTTAAAACAGTTTCCAAACCCTGTGGATGCATGTTGCTCAATAAACATATGTGTGTTTTTTTTTTAAATATATATACACTGAAAGATGATGCTGTTGAGCAAAGTGAAGAAAGTTCTATTTAAACCTGAAAGTAAATCATCCAGTACATCCCCACCTTCATACACCAACAGAAAACTTTTTAGGTGGTTTGTCCCTTAATGATATTACCAGCAAACCAAAGTAATTTATGTTGAGATAAACCCTTACTTAACTTTTTTATATTTTTCTAAAAATAGAGTTGATTATTGTTTATCATCTGTTGTTCAGCGCTGCAAGGTGGGTCGGTGGTTAGCACCGTCGCCTCGCAGCTAGAAGGTCCCCGGTTCAAGTCCCGGTGAGGACACCCGGGATCTTTCTGCGTGGAGTTTGCATGTTCTCCCCGTGCAGTGTGGGTTCTCTCCAGGTTCTCCGGCTTCCTCCCACACAGTCCAAAAACATGTTGAGGTTAATTGGTGATTCTAAATTGTCTGTAGGTGTGAATGTGAGTGTGCTTGGTTGTCTGTCTCTAAGTGTAGCCCTGTGATAGACTGGTGACCTGTCCAGGGTGTCTCCTGCCTTTGCCCTAAGTCAGCTGGGATAGCCTCCAGCCCCCTGTGAGCCTAGTGAGGATTAAGCGGTGTATAGATAATGGATGGATGGATAGATCTGTTGTTCATGTTGTTCAGTGTTCACTGATTCAGTCATAGTTGACTCTTCTTGTTATTTTCCACTACTTGATAGTTCATGTTATTTTAGTCACTACCTCATAAATTTGACAGTAGAGAGCAAACACACTGTATCTGGCTGTAGCCATGCTCATGCTACAGTGAACTTTCATTCACTTTCACCGGAAGCTGACAGCGATAAAGTGTGGTGCATTCTTTGGAGCAGAGGGTGCAGCAGCACCAGCCTGGACCCAGACCAGGAGCTGTGACATCCATCAAGTGGAGGTTTAGGATCAGAGTGTTCTGTCAGGCCAGGTTTTAAACACATCGCTGTGGCAGCGAGACGCTGCTTCCTTTTTTAGCTTGAGACTGAGACCGGGTCAGTCCTGAGATGTGGTTGCTGGCAGCTGAGAGGCTTCCAGGCATGTAAATCATTGTAAGATCAGTGCAGGAAAATACACACATACACACACATACACACACGCACGCGCACACACACACACACAGTCAACACTGCGTGGTAGTATCCTTCTACATACAAACACATAGCACTAACTCATCCTTGATAGGAAGGAAGGAAAACACAACACAAACATTACATGTGAACTCTGATTCACAACTCTCACTTTTTTTTTCAACCGTATCTGGTGCCTGAACCTGTTAATTAGTCTGAAATTTTTCCCCAACTCGCAAGATACAACTAATGTTTTATCCACCATGCAGTTGGGTTCATAAGTATTTAGATTGTGACACACCTTTTGCTATTTTGTCTCTGTACACGACCACAAGTCTTGTACAGTCAATTGCTGCCTGAAGAATGGAACCCATGGACATCACCAAATGCTGAGTTTCCTCCATTGAGATTCTTTCCAACCATTTACTGCAGTCACCTGCAGTTACTGTTTGTAGTGTTGGTTTATGCCCTTGGTTTAGTCTTCAGTTAGTAAAAATCAGCTCAGTTGGATTGAGGTCAGGTGACTTACTCGGCCTTTTACAACTATTCCATTTCTTAGCAGTATGTTTTGGGTCATTGTCCATTGGTATTGTAAGGTGCCATCCGGTCAGTTTTGCAGAATTTGACTGAATCTGAGAAGACCGTATAGCTGTACACACTTCAGAGTTCATCCTGCTACTTATGTCCGCAGTCACATCATCAATAAACAGCAGTGACCCAGTTCCATTGGCAGCCATACATGCACACGCCATAACACTGCCGTCACCATGTTTGACAAATGATGTGGTGCTTTGGATCATGAACATTTCCTATCCTTCTTCATACTCTGCTCTCACCATGTCTTCGTTTCATCTGTCCAAAGGATCTTGGTCTAGAACTGGCAAAGTCTCATCCAGTTTTTGGGTTCTTGAGTGTTACCAGTGGTTTGCATCTTAAGATGTAAATTTACATTAATGAAGGCGTCTCTTCATTGTAGTCTCTGACAATGATACATCTGCATTCTTAAAAGTTTTCTGAACTTGGCACAGTGTGGAAGGGTTTTTTTTCTCTTTACCAAGGACCATAAGTTCTCTTCTGTGGCCTTTTTGTGTTGCTGATCTCACCACTGAAGTGCCTCCTTTTGAGAATGGACAACTCCTAAAGTTTCTGCTATCTCTTTGATAGGTCTGTTTTGGGGGTTTTCAGCCTAATGATGTTCTCCTTCACTTAATTCAATTCAATTTTAATTGTATGGTGCAATTTACAACATATGTCATCTCACAGTGCTTAACATAGTAAGGTGAAGACCTTACAAATTTTAAACAGAGAACCCAACAATCCAAAGTTGGACTTCCTCTGAGCAAGCGGTTGGCAATGGTGGGAAGGAACCAATGCCCCCTGTAGCTTAGTTTGGGCAGACAGACAGTTCAATCCTTTCCTAATGTCATTGGTCTTCTGTTTTTGGTTTTAAGGGCTAGTAACAAACAAACAAAAAAAAACTCTCTCTTAGCTATTATTAGACTGGAATTGTTTTGGGGAAGGGTTTAGTGGAACATCTTTTGACTTTACACTGAAATTACCAGTTAAATTACACTCACCTCATTTTATATAACAGCTTTCATTAGGGCCCGACTGTATATAAAATATGGAAATAAACTACAGGTCTGAAAAGTGAAGGCGACGCTGAAGGACCGTATGCTTTCTAAGAGCCAGGAGGAGGCGAGTCTTCTTGTTCCAAAAAGAAGTCCAATTGTATAGAAGTCTATGAGAAATTACTCGACCTCGCAATTAATCTGTTACTTCAGTAAACATTTACCTAATAAGTTTATGATCTTAATTGTGAGTGTGAAGACTTTTTGATACAGCATGGTGTTCATTTTGTGAATTATGGTCCCATTTAGAGTTTCTCAGTCTGTTCTACCTATTGCTCCTAAGTCTGGTTTCAAAAGATCAAGATCGTGACGGCCAAAACATAGTCCTATACCATCCTGTATGCAAACCCATTGACCCCACATGGTTTCCTAACGCCACAGTGACTCTGATCACTTCTTCTTTTTCTTTCAGATCTTTGTATGCGTAGAAACACAAGAAAACACACTCACCCAAGCAGCCCACCCACTGCACAAAACTACGTTCATGCTCGAGTTATGAAACTGAGAACTGGGTTGTCTATCGCCAGAGCGTTTGCTTTAAGATTACATAATGTCACTATAAGTTGTCACAACTCATTAACCTCATAGCCTCCTGGCTCCTAGGAACGCTTGGCTCTGTTTTACTCCGTGTCATAACAGTGTCGTTGAGGTCCTGCACACATTGCAGCACCGCCCCCCGGCCCATGTGCACAGAGGAGGCTGTGGGTTTTGGACGAAAGCACGACATGAGGATGAACCACTGAAAATGTTCAGAGAAAAAGATCATTCAACAAAACAGTCACTGTACAGTGTATTGTAGCTTTATGGAACTGAAATGAAACTGCTCCATTTCCCAAATTATAGTGATGTATAAAAAATGTAATTAAAACAGTCCTCGCTCAAGATCCCTGCGTTCGCTTCTGGAGCTTTCATCAACCTTACATTGTCTTCCTCTGCAGGTGGAGTTTGTGATACAGTTGAAAGCTTCAGAAAAAGTGAAGAGGACTTTGAGTTGGGATTGTTAAGTCAAGCTGCTCTTTCGAAGGTCCTCTAAACTTTCATGCATATATGAGAACAGTATATTTATTAGTCAGACTTTAAGGTAAATTTCTAGCAGTGAAGATGTGGGTGCCTTGAAGGTCCCCGGTTCACGTCCCGGTGAGGACACCCGGGATCTTTCTGCGTGGAGTTTGCATGTTCTTCCCATGCAGCTGCAGGTTCTCTGGCTTCCACACACAGTCCAAAAACATGTTGAGGTTAACTGGTGATTCTAAATTGTCCGTATGTGAGTGTGCTTGATTGTCTGTCTCTAAGTGTGGCCCTGTCCAGCACTCCGCCACCCTCGTGAGGATTAAGTGGTGTGAAGAGAATGGATGGATGGAATTAGTTAAAAATTTAAATGAGAAAAAGAGGAAACAAAATTATGAATTCCTACTTTTTATAAGTTATTATTTTTATTTTTTTTTAACTTTCACTTTCTATTAGTATTTATTTGTACGACATTTCTCTCCTGAATTCTATTTTTGTTTTTCACAGTCATTGTATATCTGGTAAGCACTTTGTAAACAAAGTACAGCAACATTATGATTGGAAAATGTAGTGATCTCCTATTGTTTGTGATCTTTTTACTTTGAGTCTAAGAATTAACAATTTGAATTCAAATGATAAAATGGCTGCAGGGTGGCGCAGTTGGTTAGCACTGTTGCCTCGCAGCAAGAAGGTTGCCATTTTGCGTCCTGGTGGGGGCACCGGAATCTTTCTGTGTGGAGTTTGCATGTTCTCCCCGTGCAGCGTGGGTTCTCCGGCTTCCTCCCAAAAACATGTTGAGGTTAATTGGTGATTCTAAATTGTCCATAGGTGTGAATGTGAATGTGCTTGGTTGTCTGTCTCTAAGTGTGGCCCTGTGATAGACTGGTTACCTGTCCAGGTGAAACTGTCTTCACCCTGAGTCAGCTGGGATAGACTCCAGCCCCCCATGACCCTAGTGAGGACTAAGGTGTAGAGATGATGTATGGATCTTTATTTACTGTTTCTGGCTCTGATAAATGGTGTAATGTTGGTGATTTTGTTAAGAAAGCAGCCACTTTGTGATTGTGTTTAACAGAAACGTGTGTCCACAATCTCCATAGTTGACCTTACAGCAGAGATCTCCAACTCCGGTCCTCGTGAGCTGCTCTCCTGCAGGTTTTAGATGTTACTG